TTAAACAATTCTGGTGGCAGGGAGCGTTGGTTTGATTGGTTTAATTTGTATCTACAATCACGCCCGTCCGTAATACGTAAAAATATTTGTTTGTACGTAATAATAAAATTATTTTCCTTTGTTGCTTTGTTGCTTGCCTTTTTTTTTGGTTAGTGGGTAGATTGAAAAGCCGCGCCCTAGGTTGCGCAAGCGGGAGTTTTTCTAGAGATATACGTCATGTAGGTAGATGGTTATTTTTACGTAATCGGTTAATTATCGTTGTCGTATAGTTGTAGTGGATTACTTATCGAAGGGTCGATTTCCGAGCTAGGCATTTTTTGTTGATCGACCGTGATGTGTATCTTCGTTTGTACTGTAATTTGTATTTGAACTAAAGAGTAGTAATTTGTATTTGCGCCATTTGAATTTAACTTGATTTGATCGCACTAGTATTTGTTATTTGTTAATTTGATTTGTCTTTTCTTTTGTGCTAACTTGTATTTGGTTGATACGTAGTAATTCGTATTTGTGTAATTTCTATTCAACGCGATTTGATAGGAACTGCATTTATTAACTGTTAATTTTTTGTTGTATTTTTTATTTGTTATCTTTGTAATTTGTGCTCGAGCCGCATCGTAATTTGTATTTAGTAGTGATGTCATCGCCCAAGCTACTAATCCGTTGCCTGCGGACTGAGTTACGCTGGGCCACAAGCGCCCATGCTTTGATAGGTTGACCGGATAGGGTTCATAACTTGATGAAGCGGTTCGAGCAGGTGGATGCTCAAAGGGCCGCAGTGGAGGAGGCTTACGCTGAGCTCGAGGATTCGGATGTGAAGAAGGGAGTCCTGGACTCCTGCTTCGCGGACTATGAGCAGTTCTTTTCGCTCACGGACGAGTTGATCGAGGCTGAAGGAAGGTATGCCTGCCTGAGTGGCCTGCCCGAGTCCTATCGGAAGCAGCTTCGGCCGGAGCTGTTGGGACGACTCCCAACTCTGGACCTGCCAAAGTTCTCCGGGGTCCTTTCCGAATGGCTGACCTTCGTTGGTCTTTTCGACAGTCTAGTGGACGCCCGGAGTGACTTGACCCCGAACCAAAAGATGGCGTACCTCCTGGCCTCACTGGAGGAGGAGGCCCTGGGCGTCGTCGGCCACTTGAGATTGTCGGACGACGCCTACCAGACTGCTCGGGACCTCCTAGCCAGAAGTTACGCCAACGTCCGGCGAATTGCGGACGAACATGTTAAGCAGCTTCTAAGCCTCTCGCTGCTTCGTGACCGGGCCAGACTACGTCCGGACCTGTTGGATCCAGTCTTGGTGGCCTGTAAAACGTTGAGGTGGCTGGATTTACCAGTGGGCGAATGGGCTTTTTTGTTGCTCCGCATCGTGCTGTCCCGTCTACCTCTCGACCTTCGAATCCATTTTGAGGAGAGGTACGGCGGGGACGAGGCCTCCTATATTCCGCCCTTCTATGACCTGCTGCGGTTTTTAGAAGAGCAGTGCCGGCAGATCGAGTACGTGACGGGCGCCGTTGACGACTTACGAGCTGTGCCCAGTGAGAGGCTGAATCCGCCAGGCAAGTCGTCATCAACCCCCCCCCCCCTGCTCCTATTGTCGAGCATCTGATCACCGGGGAACATCGTGCCCGAAATTATTAGGTAAGCCGGTTCCGGCGAGGCGAACTATCGCCAAGGAGCGCCGCTGGTGCTGCTCATGTTTGGAAGGGCACCTCCAGCGAGAATGTCCGTATCGGCGGCCCTGTCTGCAATGCCAGGGCAATCACCATGCAGTTTTGTGCCTGGGTGCGAACGGCGTCTCCTCTCGGGGCTCTGCCAGGCCCTCGACCCCCACGGGCGGAGGCGCTCAGCCACGCCCTCTGCCGGGCGACTCTCGGCGCCCGCCGGCCAGCCACCGGGTCCATAGGTTTGGAAGGGATCCCTCCCCCGACCAGTCGGGGGGTGATTCCCCCAGGGGCGGGGGTGTCATCAACCCCCCTCAGCGTGTGGAGAGGAACTTCACGGCCACTCATCGGTCCGCTGGACCCTTCTCACTCCCGTTAGCTGAGTGGCCGCGACTGGTGTACCACTGTTCCCCATTTGATGGAGGCGGCCCTGGCTAGCTGCCGCCTTTGCTCCCACCACAGCCGCCTCCACTGAGCCTTAAGCCGTCAACAGTCCACTTGTCAAAATGTTCTGTTGCCGACGGCCTCAGTGAAGGCGTACAACCCGAGTGGCGACTGTTAGCGGTTCGCGCTCTATTAGTCTCGGGTTCACGCCGTGTGGCCTCCCCTTGGTGGTGGGAAGATTAGGACCCCCCTGGAGCGTTGAATCACGTTGTCGAGGGGTATTAGATTTGGTTTGGTCGAGCACTTAGTTAAAAATTCTTTAAATTAAAATTAAAAATGCTTTTGGGTTTTCCGCGAAATTTTCATATTTGTAGCGGTTGTGATTAAAAGAATTGAATTTAATCTACTCCTTTAAATGTTGCTGCATATGTTTTGTAAATATATTTAATCACTGCATTTGATTGTTGCGCCTGGTTGCTGAAAAGAAAATTTGAATTCATTTGAAATTGAAAGTCGCGCTATTTGGAAAATTATGTATATGTTTTGTGATAGTGTTTAATCATTTTGCTTTGTGAAAAAGAAGACTGAAATTAGATAACCCTATTTGTGCCGAGGTAAATAAAAGTCAATTCTCCTTTGGTTTACATTTTGTTGGCACTGTCTAAGTTACGTAAATAAAAAATAGGGCTGTCTCTTACATTATTGTTTTGTTTAATTTGTCAAGTTGACCTATGTGCATCGGTGATTAATTTGGTTGAATTGATTCTGTACTTGAACATTGATGCTTTGAAAAATTAGTTGAAATATGAGCATAGGACTGCTTGTCTAACAGGCTAGCTAGTTTTGGAGATTATCAGATTGAAATCAGCTGCCGCACTATTTTAGTAAATGATAATATGGTGGGTGGCCTGGCTGGGCCCACTGGTTGAAAATTCATACTAGGGACTATCTGTGCGTTTCGTTGGGCTCTCCACATACGACGTTCATTTGGAATTTGTGGGTGCTCTCTGCACTGAAGCTTAGGAGGCCGCTCTGGGCAGCTTCGTGTCGCGTCGCTGTTTGCAGAGCTGATCCGGTCGGATTGCGGAACTAATGGTAGGGGCACAGATAGGTGTTTGAAAGAGGTCGTCAGACTTCTGTCCAGAATAGGACTTATTTATGGGCTGTGATGTCCAGGAAGGGCATCCAGTTCAACCCTCCGGCTTGCCCACGTTGGGGCGGTAATTTTGAGGCGTTGGTTAGGGTTGCAAGATCTGATGGGGTGCCTAAGGTGGCCTAGTTTGGTTGTAGATTCGGTCTTGCAACTTGCCGTCGCGACCTTGTCCCGCTGACCGGTTTGCTCGTGGACCTAAATCCTTATGTCCGGGACGGGGATTTGTTCGCGCCAAACGCTGTTGTCGGAATCGACGTCTAGGGGGCGCGCGGCTTGGTGCCATACCGGTTTGACTTTCGGTCGTGCGTAGAACGCGCAAGCGCAGGAGTCGTCTGCCAGCTGTACTTGGGACAGCACGCTGTCATTTCTTGTCGGGATTTAGAGTTAGAATTAGGCGCGGCTCATAAATGTACTGTCTAGGATTTGTGACGCGTATTCCTTGCTGTAGAGCTTCCCCGGGACTCATTGAGTTTGACTCGGAATCTGTATAGCTGCATTCGACAATATTATCTAGTGCGGCCTTTGATATTATAGAAATAATTGTTGCTACGCGAAACGGTAGTGACCTTTGATCCGGACACTCCGTGTTCGTTTTGTGCGTTAACCTTATAACAAACGAGAGTTAGTGGCTTCTGTAAGTTAGTTATCGTGACGAACAAGGAAAGTGACTGTGGACAACGCCGCGGAAGATCTCAATTCGGAGCAGCCTGGAACTCGGCGCCTGCTGGTCGCCTATGCTTGCCAAGGCCCCACGCATTCACAACTCACTGTACACTACTCGCCATCCACTATTACACACAGTCACGGCTTTTAGCTTTCTCCCTTATTGTTTGGTGTAACTAGAGATTTTTCACTTTGGCCTTAGGAGGCCCGACATGACCGATCATGTTATTGCAATATAATCGCCTTGTATTTATATGATTTGATACATTTTGAACATTTTAAGCAGGTTTTTAATAAATTTAGAGATTTTTAGAGACATTTTATGCGTTTACTAATATTATAATATTCAATATTCCAAATGGATATTTTTGAACTTTATGCTTATTATTTGCATTTAATTGTTTAAATTATAATTTCTATGACATTTTTAAATGTCTGTATAATGAATTTAATTATTATTTATTAATAATAATTATGAGGCGTCACAATCCACCCCCAAATTTTATGTTAATGATCCAAATAGTGGAGTCGTTAATATAAAATTTTAGTATTTTGAGAGCATATACACTACACTCAAATAATTGTTTATATATCTGTTCTTTCCTCTTTTAATCTGTTACAATACGGCATATGTTATCAAATCCCCCTACCCCAGAGAACGGCCGCCACCAACACCCCTTCAACCACAATTATCACAATGTGATAACACCATAATTCAAGTTATTGTATATCGTGTTGTTAATAAAGTTTGCAGTCAATTGTCGATTTCTTATTTTATTAATTTATCTTTAAATCTTTGAAAGATTATTTTCGATAGTGTCACACTTTATGTGCATACAATCCAGTTGGATATTTGTTGAGATCAGTTGAGTTCTACACAGGATAAATGTGATTGAGCCATTCACCCTGACCCAACTCCCATATTTATTTAATAAAAATGATTACAAAATTATCTTACAATTTATATTTACAACTCTTCATTATTTATTAATAATGTTCTTCTATCATATAACAAATCTCTTGCTCATAGCTTTAATAATTTTAGACCTTTAACTAAAACAATTATTTCCATGGGCCACCCACAAAACCCTTTTATGTTACGATATTTATTTAATTACTCTAATTTTTACAAAAAGAAATTATTATTTAAAATATTTTAATAAGTGAATAGCATTGAAAATTCCTCTAATTTCGTTTGTCTCTGGATTTGCTAAGGTATATACATTGTCAAATGGTACGGCTGCTATTACATAAGGTCCTTCATATGCCAAATTGAACTTACTCATATCTTTATTATCAGCGTCTGATCTACTAGATCTTGAAATTTTTACTAAGTCACCAATATTATATTTTATTAATCTATTTCGCTTATCAAATTTTGTGTTTCTTATTCGACTTGCCTCTTTTAAATTTTTTCGCACTTGTTGTCTAATTTGTTCGACATTATGTTTGTCTTTACTTTTGGAAATTACTTTGTCAAAAGACATCTCATTAGACTCACCGTAAAGAATCTCACAAGGCGTGAAGCCTGTACTATTGTGATAAGAATTATTATACAATTCTTCTAATTTCGGCAATATTAACGCCCAATCTTTGTGGTTAGTATGACAAAGCGTCCTAAATAATCTGCTCAACTCTTTATTTACTCGCTCTGTTGTATTTGGTCTAGGATTTCTAACTGTGGTATATATTGGCTTTATATTTATATCTCTCATTGATTGTTTCCAGTGATTACTTATGAACTGTTTTCCATTATCTGTCATTATTGCCTTGGGCTTTATAATCTCAACAAAATGCTTTACTTTTGTTACAACAGACTTTGCTGTTGACTGTTTTAAAGGATATAATTTGATAAATTTACTGAATGAATCTTGAATGACAAATATGAAAGTGTACCCAAAGGTACCTGATGCAAGTGGTCCATATAAGTCTGCCATGACTATATCGCCAATGTTTTCTGTTATTATAGATTTGCAGGGACTCACATATGTTATTTTGCTTTTCTTAGATAACTGACATAAACAACAAGCCCTTAATTGGTTTTTAATATCTTTTGTTAAACCTTTCCAAAAGAATCTGTCTCACATATTTAATTACTTTATAGGGTCCTTGATGACCCATTTCGACATGCACTTGATTTATAATATCTTGTCTCAATGCTTTAGGTAAATATATTACTTCTTGTAAATTAGTTTTGTAATACAATACATCATTTTTCAAACTATACCTTTTAAATTTATTGTTTTGTTTTATTATGGAAGTATTTAATATCTTTAACTTTTCAATAATAGCCAACGACTCTGAATCTTGTAATTGATATACTGATAAGGATTTTAATTTTTCTATCAACTCAATATTCGGTTCGCTCTCTATGTAAGCAATTTCTAAACTATTATTTTTATCCTCTTGTATTAAATCGCCACCAGGAGGATAACGTGATAGCACATCTGCAACAATATTACGTCTACCCGATAGGCTGTACTTCATAATTAAATTGTTCTATATACAAAATCCATCGGGTTACTCTACCATTGAATAACTTCATATTATTAATAAACAATAATGCTTTATGATCAGTTAGTATTATTATTTTACTGCCCCTCAAATATGTTTCAAATTTCTTTAGGCAGCTTATTACAGCATAAAACTCTTGTTCAGTAACAGACCAATTTAATTCGGGGCATTTTAAGGCTTTACTATGATAGCCTAAAATTCTCATTTCATTATTATCATCTATCTGATATAGTACTCCGGCCATACCCACACCGGAACAATCTGTTTGTAAATAATACGGCTTATTAAAGTCTGGATGATGCAAATTAACCACAATTGCAATTACCACAGTTGCAAATTAACTCATTGGCAATAATAAAGGCCTGAGCAGACCGGATGCGTGGCGTGTGCGTAACGTACAGTCAGCGACACATCGACCTACGAAAATCTGTGAAAAAACCACAACTGATGATGATCTCTATGAGTTTGAAATAAGGTTGAAATTCAGTTGCAGAAATTTGACAGATAAGGGTAGGTCGATATGGCGCTGACTGTACATGCATACTGTTGTAATAATAGGAAACTATATGAAACGTGCCCACAATCATAATCTTACTTTTTATTGTTAATGAATTAAGAGGCCGTACCTAGTTTTGCTCGCGGCACTAGCGCCACTTTCATTAAAAAATTATATCTTTTTATTTAAGGCATAGATAAAAATCGGTCTCAGCCAATTTTTAAATTTAGCAAAAAAAAAAATTAGCAAAAAAGTGGCTGAGACAGATTTTTTATCTATGCCTTAAATAAAAAGATATAAGAGTTTTGAGTTTTGGCGGGAAATTGACCGGCGGCGGTTTGCTGCTCCTGTATTATTGTTTAAATAATGGTTTGAAGTGGACTTTGATATGTAAAAGTGTTGCGATTTTGTGTATTAAGTGTCTACGCATGTGAACTATTAGTGGAAACAGTGAAACAAATGCTCTGATGGTGATGGATTCTCAAGATAAGCTGTTTGTTTGCATAGCCACCTTTAGATACCATCGCCAACTATCAGCTGTCTGCTGGATCAAGTTGCCGCCAAAATCTCCCAAGAACTGCACAATGTGACGCATCAACATATTGTGAAGCAGTATACTATGAAGGAGTGAGGAAATTACAATAAACCGAATAAAAATACTTAAGACTTGGCCTAAAGGTCTAGATACCAGGCCATAAACTCCAAAAAAAAACATATAATTTTTTAATGAAAGTGGCGCTAGTGCCGCGAGCGAAACCAGGTAGGTACGGCCTCTTAATTTGCACCTGTATTTTATGTTTTATAAATTAGTTTCATCTGCCCGGTAAGTCTGTCCCGGTAGATGGAACTAATTATATTTTCTAAGTACTTAAAAATAATTAACTATAAAAAAAATGTAAACAGATGGTATGCTTTTTCTCATGGCCGTGTCTTTTTTTTGCAACTCACTATTCAGTTCGTTTAACAAGTAGTCAAATGTATTCTTGTTCATTCTAAATTTTTTATAAAATTTGTTCTTGAACCTTCGAGGTTTAAATCAGCACGAAATTGGCTTTGACTTTTGTTTTCCAATAAAAGATGTACCCAATAAATTCTATTTCGACGAATACGCTGATGGCGTCGTCTTCTTCTTATTATTAAAAGCCATAACAAGGATAGCAACAACAATTTTTACTCCATGACTACGTTCAGTCAAGCCGTGTTTCCTCTACGAAAGCCGGAGTATAACTGCACATGACCACTTGGTTACCACATCGCAACGACAGTGACAACGCAACCACATCGACATTTTGTGGGTATCACAACGCAACTGCAAAAAGCCGCTGCGACACTATTCACACATAACCACAGCTTGACCACATTTTGTCGCTGCGACGTGGTGTGGTTGTGGTACATATGAATTGACCCTAAAAATGTGACCGCTCGGACTCGTTCAACAACAGGCCTATCGCCATCACCTCCTTGTTCTCCAAAATAATGGAATAAATTATTAACTGCAGATTATGACGTACCTTAAAGAGCATCAGTTGGTTGGTGACCGTCAATACGTTTTCCGTCAAAGTCGCTCAGCTGGTGATCTTCTTGTTAACCTGTCTCACAAATGGGCGGATACAGTCGAGACCAAGTGGAGGGCCCTGGCGGTTATTTTGGACATAGCGAAGACCTTCGTTCGAATTTAGACCAAAACGCTTCTTTCGAAGCTTCCCCCTTATGGATTTCCCGGGAAATTATGCAATTGGGTCACCAGTTTTCTTACAGATCGGAGTATTAAGATCGTAGTAGACGGTGCATGCTTCGACGTGCAAGCCAGTCATCGACGCCTGTCCTGTATCTTCTATACATCAATGATATATTGCAATACTAGTAACATTCATTGTGCAGACGATATCACTAGCGATGTCTTATACACCGTCCCTGCTAATATTTCTCGGGATCATGTCGTCGAGTGCCGGAACAGACATGTGTCTGAAGTCGAGTCTATCTAAATCTAGTTTATAACCCCAAAAGACAGGTTTGCGCGTTTTTTTATTGGATAGGGTGACAAAAGAGTAAGTGGTTATTGTGACCCATAGATATCTACATTTATCCTCAATAAAGAATCGAAATGCAGATGCGTCATCACCCGTGAGGACTAAGATGGAATGCCTCTTTTCCAGTAAAATGGGTCTCCGCTTCTCTACACGCACTATAAGAAACACAGCAGTGTCAAGCTGCCATTTTACGCTGGTATTCTGTGAGACTGGTCCTTCCCCGGTCGAGCCGATCCGTTAGTGCTACAACTATACTACTAATATAGCTGCAGCATGGCTCTACCACGTAAAATTACGTTTACTGTAAAAAAAAAAAGAACCACTGTCGTATCTCCTCAATTTCAGGGCACTCTTCTCGTTGCCTCAGCCAGCATCGGAATCCTTGGAGTCGACATTTCGAGACACTTACAGTTCCGTAGTTACTTGGAAGGGAAGGCTAAACTGACAACAAATAGAATAGAATAATATTTATTCAATATTGATTATTACATAATACTTATTGAAAGTCATTTTTTATTTACCACTGGTACGGAAAATACCTCTGTCCTGAGAAGAATCAGCAAGAAACCCAGCGGGACTTTTTTTTTCAAACATTTCACTTAACAATAATTTCGTTTATACAATTTTTAAATGATTTTTCATAGAACCAGCATGGTGGCGATCATCTTATTCCCAGGGGTTATTTTCATTCATGTATTCCTTGATATTATAATAACCCTTTTTGTAGTTTTTCTTTAATAAAACTTTTAAACTCGTATATTGACAAACTTTAATATGTTCTGGGATTTTGTTGTAAAAGCGTATACATTGCCCCATAAATGAATTACTGATTCTGTGGAGTCTAGTAACTGGCAATACAAGCTTATGTTTGTTCCTAGTGTTTAATGTATGCCCATCCTTATTCTTATTAAAGCTATTTATGTTTTTATGTACATACATTACATTTTCATAAATATACTGCGATGCCAAAGTTAATATGTTTATTTCTTTAAATACTTATTTAATATTTAATAAATACTTTTTTGTCTGAGGGACTCTTTACAATTTAAGTTATAAATCGCCCGATCGGCTCTCTTTTGCAAAACAAATATAGCTTCAATATCAGTCGCATTACCCCGTAGCAAAATTCTGTAAGACATTACGCTATGAAAGTAACTAAAATACACTAATCTAGCTGTCTCAACATTTGTGAGACTTCTAATCTTTCTTACAGCATATGCTGCAGAACTAAGTCTGCTTGCTATTTTAGATATATGGGGGCCCCATTGAAGTTTCGCGTCAATAGTAATACCGAGAAAAACAGTGGTATCCACAAGAATCAACTCCTCCCCATTTAACAGCACATTGGTATTCGAATGTTTTACATTAGGTATTGTAAATTTAATACACATTGTCTTATTGCCGTTTAAGAGCAAATTGTTGGCGTTAAACCAATGTACTAATTTCGATAGAGCATTATTTACATCGTCATAATTAATTGACTGCCGTTTGAGTTTGAAAATTAAAGAGGTATCATCAGCAAATAATACTATATCGTGATTGTCCCCTACAAGATAAGGCAAGTCATTAATATAGATTAAAAACAGGAATGGGTCAAGAATCGAGCCCTGAGCAACGCCCATTGATACTACCGATCCGGAGGAACCTTTACCATTGATCACGACTTTTTGAGTTCTATTACTTAAATATGAAGTAATAAGTCTACGCGCCAAATTTTTTACACCGTTGTTTATTTTTTACAATGTTGTAGAAAAAAAAATCTTGAAAAAAATCGAATCGTCAACGACTAAGTTCTTTCCGACCGACTTGATCTCCTTGATTGAAGCCAGGTCCACTGGCCCTGCGTAGAGACGTTGCATCTCTATGAAAGGACAGGAAAATTAATACACACGAATATGTACTAATTTAAAATAAAAAATTTTGTACAACCGACTTCAATATAAATTATTAAGAATAACTCAAACACTATTGGTCAGATCTTGATCAAATTTATATGAGACCACAAGTGAAGCAACAGCTTTCAAATAAAATAGAATCATCGGAATCGGTTTACCCAGTAAAAAGTTATGAGCTACTAACACACAAAAAAATCATACATCCGAATTGAGTACAGTGTCCTTTTTGAAGTCCGTAGAAAATATTATTTAGTGTTTTTGCTTATTTAAAGTAAATGTTCAAAATGAGCTCCATTATTGGCGATACATAGCCTGCATCTTTTTATAAAACTTCTTTTGAGCCTGCAGAATGATTCTTCTTTTTCCCTAATCTTCATTTGGGCCTTTTTCAGTTTCAGCCGTAATTGTTCAATAGAGATGTATTCGCTTTTGTACACCAGCTCTTTGTAATATCCCCAGATGAAAAAATCCGCCACGGCCTATCCATCTACGTGGAAAAATTTGATTAAAATATTCCCTTAAATTCCGTGCGAAATGGCATGGCGCCCCATCGCATTGAAAGTACATACAGCTCCGTACAGCCAAGTTGACTTCCTCCAAAATTTCAGGCAAGTTATTTTGTAAAAATTTCAAGTATGCATCGCCGTTTAATCTGGCTGGTAACTCAAACGGTCCAATCAGCTGTTTGTTGAATACTCCTGTCCATAAATTAATACTAAACTGTTGTTGAAAATTGTGGCGCTGAATCGCATGTGGGTTTTCAAAATTCCAGGAGTGGTAATTATGAATATTAAATATTCCACTCCGGCCAAAATTTTGACTCATCTGTTCACATTATGTTGTCAACAATATTTTCATCTGCGTCACATCTAATTATCATGTCTTGACAAAAGGCCACTCGTCATGCATAGTCCGCAGGTAGTAAATCTTGAACTTTTTCACGTGGTAAGGGTGCACTCCCTCTGCTTGCAGAATTCTGTGCACAGACATGTGAGATAGGCCTGTGCGACGGCCAATTGCTCTCGTACTTGTCGACGGATCTCTTTGTAGTTCTCCCAAGATTTGTTCGATTTGATCTGGGTCGATTCTCGGAACTCCTTCGGGCCGAGAAGAACCGGGTATGTGACCTTCCATGTACGCGTTTTGTACACGTAAATAAACACGGTAGTCAGGGTATACCTCAGGTTGTGGGCCATCTCTTCTAATCAGTTGCTCACGGTACATCCTAGCAGCTGCTCGGGCGCTTCCTCGGGCTGCGCCGTAACAGTAGTACATTTCTGCATAGTCGCGTGGAGAATAAAACATGATGGATAAAATTCACGCAGATCTACTTAATAATAATAATCGTCCAATAAATGCGCAGTCTTCGTTCCGAGGTAACAACAATCCAAATCACATAGAAGGTATCAAAGTCCAATAATTATGTAGTTTTCGTTCCGAGGTAACAGCAATCCAAATCAAATAGAGAGTATCGAAGTCCGATAAACAAGCCGAATTCAGAGGATGAAATTAAAACACCGGATAGAAACGTAGCACATGTAAGAGCACAGGGGCAGACGATAAACGACTAAGGAAGGAACTTACAATATTCATACAACTTACTCAAAAAATAACAAGTCCTTCTAAGAAAACAATGGCCATAAAAATACCAAACCACCTAATCAGCCAACCACAGCATATAAATATAGAGTGCATTCTATAGGTACAAGAATATTTTTGATACAAAATATATTTTAGTTACCTACACAGCTGCCGTGTTCAAAGCGTTGAGATGGCACGGCCACCAGTGTATAAATTACTACATTAAACGGCCATCTGGTTAGATTGCTTTTTTCTCCAAATATTTTTAATAAAATACGCAATACTTTTTACCACATTATTTTTTATTAAAAATATTTAGGTAACTTGCAAAAATTTTATTTTCTAATACCAATCTCTTTCTCAACAAGGACAGAAATCTCACGATTTTATGATGGTGTAGAAATAAAACGCATTTCTCTTAAATGTAGAATAAGTATATTGAATAATTAAATAATGTTAGTTCAAATATTTTGCCAAAAAAGACTTATAATATGTGTAATCGTAAAAGTAATAATAAAAATTATCTAGAGGTCAATAAATTTCGAGATTTAGTGGAAACATACATTTTTAATAATGGGAGGGGGAATATATTGCAAGAAGGAAATATACCGAACGTTGTACAACACGCACGTTGTGGATAACATAACATACACCATGCAAGCGAATTCAGTTTGAAACTTGCCATCACAAAGTGTTCTCCAACCCTGGCAACGTACAGCATGGGATAAAAATAGTCGACATGTCGAAAAACAATCGTGCAAAACAGTCTATTAATTTCACTAACAATACATAATAATTTTATTTTTATAATTACAACCATTTGCGACAACGGAGCAAAATGCCTAGTGCTATATTTAATAAATATACATATAATGTATGGGCACTTCTGTAGTCATACAGGATGTCGATAATTGTTTTTAGGTCGAAAGACGCTTCTTCAATTTACTTAAAGACTAGTGTAATTCTAAAATATTACTTTTTAACGACATCCTGAACGTTACATTACTCCATAAGGACTCAATCTTAGACTATTTCACAATGCTCTTGTCAGTCTTTCGTCCTGCAAGAATAAAATATATGGCCATAAATTACAGCGTAAAGATTTATTGTTTGTGATTATTAATAATCAAAAATATAGAATTTCTAATCAAATATTTATGTGTATATTAAATAATATATATATAAATGATAGTGTAAGGTAATTCTCCAAAAAAATTAAAATCGTGGAGTTCTTTTTTAAATATTTTTTTAAACAAAAAAAAATATATTTTAACCATTGAAAATTTATTATGAAAATTTTCCACGGCTTTAATTTTTTTCAGATAAATACTAGATACGTGTGAGAACAGCTAGCATTAAATTGTGCTTTATCATAAATAGCGGAGTTTTTATTAATAGCAAAAACAAACGGTCATGTCTCATTCCCTGTGATACAAGAGTTAAAAACAATAGTGTATGCGATATGAATAATAATGTATATATAAATTTATTATGTACGCTTATAATAGTAGCCATTCGAACTCTGGTATGGTTACATATCATAATAGGCGGAGATCACACTTACAAAGTGTATTAATTAAACTACAAATTCAGATGTATAAATAATTATGCATCGTCAATTTAGAACTAAACAGGCATGCTATACATTATTTCTCGGCGCTTTCTGCTGGCTGTGATGTGACGTAGATGAGTGAGATACTGCACGGGCATTGCTGAATGCACGTTATCAATAAAACCGGCTTTACTGTGTAGGTTGAGTGTAACATATTATTGTCACATAACATCTACGGCTGTGTAATCTCATGTATTTTTAGAATTACGAAAAACTATACGTATGTGTATAAGAACGAGAACAATTTAAAGTACGTTCGTAATTAAAAATAATATAAATGGACTATGCTAATTTATCACTATGAACTTGTGTAATCTGCAAAAACCGTTGTAAATTTTCAACTTTAAAATATATAAATTGTGATATTCAAATTATGCTTGTTCTTTTTTTTTAGGTTAAGCATCTGACTATGACATGAAATTGTTTTGTGATAGCCGTACTGCAATGAAAATAATCCAACGCTTCTTTTTCGCAATTTATTTCGCCACCTTGCCTGTTAACTGAGCGAATTATAACTATGACATGCATTAAACGACTAATTAAAATATGCTCAATCCTAACTTCTTATATTTATCAAACTAACGATATATTTATATATTTTTTTTATTATTAAATATGCTTTTTAAGTGTAAAAATAGTTCTTTGAGACAAAACGTCAAAGCACTCTTGCTTTGCTTTAAGGAGATAACAATTTCTCCGACCAAACTAATAGATACCATAAAATGTTAATAATGCCCAACGAGGATAACATGTATGTAATAAATTATTTAGTAATCTAGATGTAAATATAGAGATCGACGTGCAATTTTTTAGTAAGTTTTTGCAACTAAATATGCGTATGCGTGAAGATTCGCAAATTATATTGGACGGCAAAGACGTTATGAAAAAACAGGTTATGCAAGAAGAGAATTGCAAAAAATAACTCCACTAATACCATTAATATTATCTACAAGAGATAAAACTGTTCCACAGAAGCATCATCGCTAAGTTTAAGAAAATTGTTACAGATAACTCAAAGTGCATTATTAACGAGTTGGTAAAAGCAAGTATTATGGTTATTGGGTTATAATGGATTTTAACGTTTAAGACATAGAACAATACTGTCGAAAATAACTGTATGTTATAGAGAGTCATGTTAACAACTTTTTTTTAATGTAACGTGAAGATAAGTATCTCCATAGCTTTCTTAGTCCGATCATTACGAACGTCAATTTATACTAACTAGCATTCTAAAAATTTACTAACTACTGAATGCTGAGGGCATCCACACAATAATGAATGCGCATAAACATCTACTTAATAAAGATATCGAACTAAAACTACTCGACGCAAAGACCAGCAACAAAACGCAAGCTCCAAGGTCAGATTTTACCATCTCTATGAACACCTTGATTTGGCCTAGGTAGCTATCAAGTAAATGTTAACTTTGTCATGTTTGTTATCGTAGACCGTAGAACATATCTTAGTATCGCTATTTGCATTATTTTATCATTTAAAACTCCCTTTGGAAGGCAGTTAATTATTCTAATGAACTTATACCTTTTAACCGCTTGCAACTCGATTTCTCAATTACTCATAAATTGTGTGGACTTCACAATAGGAGGTTTAGGGATCTAAAATCAAATAAAAATTTTCAACAAATGTGTGATAAGTGAAAATTTAAATTTTATTTTAATCGGCATCGATAAACTGCAATATTTTATGAGTTTCAAGAGGAACCTATGTATTTAACATGCAAAATAAGTTTCGACGCATTACGCAAAATGTATCATCGAAGCGGAAAATCGGTGCTCTCTGTAATTTAAACATAGTAATTGCGATACTCTGTGATCAGTTGCAAATTACACACGTCCCCGAGCACGGACTCGCTACTCGTTTAATTACATTTAAATGTTCACTATTTTCAGATTCTAGCATTTATATCTATACTTAATTATTTGCATACTTCTTGAATATTAACTTTCGTCAACTATGACCAAGATTAGTTATTTTATACCAACTAGTATTATAGGGTTGCTGATATCGGCGTTTAACCTCGAGTAATATCTTATCGTAACGAACTTCAAAACTATAGCTATTACTATATATAAATATTTATTATCTATATATTGATATAGATAATAAATATTCATTTTTTTACAAAATGATATTTTATTATTGCTTTCAAGTCGGCGGAAGAACTTTCACGTTATCGAATATATTATTAATTAAATATTTATATAGTAATATAGGACCTCTACAGTACAAAGTGAACTACAGTTATCGATACCCGCTAAAGTCTTCTAAATCTGACAAAGGAGTCCCCGTGTTGCGTTTGTTGCCAGCTTCCGTCCTACCCATTATATTCATTATACTTCAAAAGGCTGTCAAGAATCTACATCGCATTACAATATAATTATAGTAATAATATAAACGTGTAAATAAAGTTACTATAGTTAATCGAACGCACGTCTACGTTTTCTTCGGTATTACCTCACAACGTAAACATTAGCGATACTGCAAATTTCGACAAGAGAATATCAAAAATAGTGTATCGACGGTCATCAATCATCATCTACAATCTGTCTAATAAATATGTAGTCTAATGACGCTATTTAGCTCACTTGAAACATCTTAAGCCAATTCTCAATATAGTATGGACTATTGTTATAAATTTTCAAATTTTCATCTCCCTTCAGCCAATTTTTGAACGCCGTTCCACGTGATTTCCAACATCAATTCTTATCCATGCAGACTACATTTTACTTTGGGGGCGTAAGGCAAAACTTTTAGGCAAATATTTAATCAACATCAATAACACGCTGAATATCTAAATCACTCGATATGACTTTTTTAAAATCCTGAAGTAAAATATAATAATAGTGAAATAAGAACACAAAAAGCAACTGTTACGGTTCTAAAATCTTACTTAAATACACAGAGATCTTTAAAATAATTCGCTAATGGACTTTTACATGAGTCAGGCCGTATTAGACAACGATAATTCGAAACTTAAAGAGTTAATGAAAAATGTTGTCTATTAGGCAACTAAAATTAACTAAAATATTATGAAATGTTAACCAAAACTGATGTTAATGGAAGA